TAGTCAATCACTTTTACTAGTAGATGTATCTGTACTCAATTCTCATCATTGAATCATTACAATGAACTTCAACATTATGAATATTCTTCAAATATCTAAACACCATAATTGGCTTTCAACCCATTTCATCCACTTTAGACTTAGTGCATATCATCCTTATAATTGTATAAGGGTTACGTTTTCACCTTATGAATATTCTTCTATTACCATAAGGTATAGTTAAATTTAACTTTTTTTAAAAAAAAAAAAAAAAACTAAGTTACCCCCACAATTCTTCAATTAGGAATCCATGTGCAACTAGTAATGTTTCATCCAGAAGCCTTGAACTTCTCATATAAGTTTACAAGCATTAATGTTAACCCCACGTTTTTGGATTATAGTTTTGAACTTAGAGATGATTCAATACATTTATGAAGTAGATAATGTCCTCTTTGAATGCTTCGTGTTATCCCACTTTCAAACTAGTGATCGTTAAGTCACAAAGTGCTTCAATTCAACTATCTTTTATTTTGATCACACATGATTTGATCAAAGTCATCTCATAGACCAACAACCTTTTCCAAGCATAAACCAACTCAATTGGTTTCACGATTGAAGTCAAATTCAATCAATGAAGAAGACAAAGCAACTTGATTCACAAGATTGTAACTTCTTCAAACATATTGCAATTTATCACGTTCGTCACATTTCATAAGATGGTATTAAATCATATCAAAACATAAGGCACACTTTTACCTTATTCACATTCGGACAAAATCACATTTTGTCATACACATGTTCAAATGTAATTTTGTATAAATCACTTAATTAATTGAGGCTATCAAACAAGATATGAAAATTTAACCAACTCATTTACCATGTCAATTTCATATTCCAATAAATCATCCTAATGCAAAATGTCCTAGTGACATATAAATGGATACCCATATGTAAGAATGATTCTCTTACTCATAAGTCACTAATCATTTGAATCTCTCATCAGTGAACTTCCTTTGCAACTTATATGTTAAGCAATAAGCATCACACGCATAAGGAATTAATCACCAAATAGTCATCATGCCAAATAGATCTCTTTGTTACCATAATCAAATTAAACAATGGCTTAAAGTCGGTATTATTACTCCTCCAACACCACGCAAATCAATCTGGAAAAAACAGTCCTCTTGCACCTAGCATTATTTGAACTTGAATACTCCTTTGGAATTGAAGGAATTCAAAGGTAATGTTAAACCATTGATTAAATAAACATGCCAAACGGTTTTTGTCATTTTCATCTTTCCACTTTCTTGAATATCTTATCAACACATGCAACCATGATTTTCAAGTTTGTTCATGAAAATTATAAACAGATTCATGCAGAGATCAGTCCATGCATATGAACAATTCTAATTGTCATAATAAAGTGAGAATAGTAAAATTATTTCCCAGCCTCAATTTAGTGAGTTTTGTCCTTTTCATTAAGTCAAAACCAGATTTAGAGCAGACTACTGGTGTATGATGGAATCTGATGTTTAATCCATTTTACGCATATAAAATCAGATTTAATATGCTGTCAAAATTCACGTGAATAATCTTTTGCATGTGCGAAGATCCAATATAAAATCGACTTACCAAAATGGAATCAATCATTTCATCTTCAACGGAAAAGACATCTCTTTAAAACATACCAGATTTTCTTTTGCCGAAAGAACTGTTGATTCCGATAGTGGCGCCAAATCCTTTCATGAGATTTGTCCCATAAACCGATCCAAACAAGATCTTGATTTCGTCAGCATGATTGTCGCCAAAGTATTTCCATTCTCCATCCCAAAAATATCGTTTGAGATTGTTGGGAATATTTTCCCTATGAGAGGAAATGGAGAAGAAATCAAGATTAAAACAACATGATGAATGAAACCAAGTCCAATTAAATTCAATAATGAAAATAAACAAAAAAAAGGAGATGAACTTATCTTTATGTTACCGAACATCGCAAGTTCTCAAACCGGAATCACGGTAGAAAGCTTGAATGCGATATGATTAAACAACTTCAATGGTATGAAATTAAAGGCTCAAACATGTGATCATTGTCCTCAAACGATATTTACCCCTTCTCCTATGGGCTATGAGATTTGGTGCTTAAAGGGTCTCGCGACAAATGGTTCGAAGAATAGATCAAGCCTTGTAGAGAATTCATACTCAAGCACTTGCATGATTCTCCAAAACTTTAAGAACACGAAGGAAGAATTTTGAATATAGAAGAAGAAAGAATTGATTTCTTTCTTTATGGAATGAATGATGATCATCACAATGATCTCAAGTGTTTTTACATGTTTTTCATTGTTTGTATTGATCATCTTATAGCCTATTTATAGGCCTTGATCAATACCCCACGAATTGGTGCCAAAACATATATGGAAGAGTTGCAAGATACCATCCAAAAGCCGCCAAAACTGAAGCCAAAAAACTGTCCAACGGCTGTTTGGCACAGGGGCGCCTCATGGTAGCTCAGTGGCGCTACTATTCTCGAGTTAATGGTGCAGGGGCACCTAGTTGGGCTCGGGGGTGCCTATTCCTTCTGTAAATCCATTTTTCATTCCAATTTCGATTTTTGATTTTGAACAACATTTACAACAGTTTATATCCTAGATTATAGTAACTATAAAAATGAGATTATATTGGATGGAATGAACAATCTATATCGGACACAAACACGAGTGATTAATGATAATTCATCACTTTCTAACACGTGTTTAAATCAAATCCTTTATTTATTTTGAAGGTGAGAACATTTTTTTTAATTTTTGGGAAGAAAATGAAGTGGGGAGGGGTGGGGTGAAAAATAAAGTTTTAAAAATTTGAGATTATATAGATGGCACATATAAAAAAATTAGGTTTAATTTGTTAAAAAAAAAAGTTTGGGTACCGAAATTACAATTATTCATTTTTAGCTTTTGCATTTTTTTTACTGCT